ATTAGAAAAATCTTAGAGGGTGAGAGCTTAATATTTTAAATCACCCTAATGTACATACACATATATATATTGAAACAGATGCCGTAAGTCATGAAAATTATTTCGTTGTTAATGTGCAAATTTAAACGTTTCAACAGCGTTTTTAATGTGTCATAAATTGTCGTAAGTAAATTTGCATACACTTATTGTGGCATTGATTTGAGCTTTTACGAGATCATTTGTTAACTCTAAGTGACAGGAAAAATTAGATGAAGACATCAACAAGTTTTGTGTTTGGCTGCCATATAAGTTTGGCTATACGGCAGCCTGACGGGATGCACCAGCTATGAAACGATTTCCGAAAATTGTGGAGAAAAGTTTATCTATATGTAGGCCCGATTTGGTTGAGTGACGGTACTCGATTGAGGCCAATGTGGAACCCTACCTGACTAACTCATTAGCAATCTTATTTCCGGGAATGTTGCGGCTACCAGAGACCCAAACAAAATCTAATTCGAAGTGACTACTAACCAGGTCCCGTAATGGTTTTCACTTAAATTTAAAAAAAAATATATATCGCTAGCTTAGAGTANATCATTTGTTAACTCTAAGTGACAGGAAAAATTAGATGAAGACATCAACAAGTTTTGTGTTTGGCTGCCATATAAGTTTGGCTATACGGCAGCCTGACGGGATGCACCAGCTATGAAACGATTTCCGAAAATTGTGGAGAAAAGTTTGGTCTATATGTAGGTCCGATTTGGTTGAGTTACGGTATTCGATTGAGGCCAATGTGGAACCCTACCTGACTAACTCATTAGCAATCTTATTTCCGGGAATGTTGCGGCTACCAGAGACCCAAACAAAATCTAATTCGAAGTGACTACTAACCAGGTCCCGTAATGGTTTTCACTTAAATTTAAAAAAAAAATATATATGATTCATTTTTAGTTAAATTTTTTGCTCAGAGAGCAAAAATAGCTTTACNTTTTAAAATGGGACTTAGCAACTTTTCTTTCTAAGCTAGCGATATATGATTCATTTTTAGTTTAATTTTTTGCTCAGAGAGCAAAAATAGCTTTATGTGTTTCCTTTAAGGGTCGAAAGTGAAGAAAACCCTGAAATAAATATCAATAAAAGTAAATACGAAAACAAATACGGAAACGAGGATAAAGGTGGATTCGAAGGTAAATACGAAAACGAATATGAAAGCGAATATGGTGACGAAGACGTATCATACGAAGACGGAGACGAGCACGAAGATGATTACGAAGATGAAAACGAAAAAGAATACGAAGACGAAGGAAAAACCGAAACCAATTCGAATTTAACCCCAAAAACTAACACGAAGACGAATTTGAGCACGAATGCAAATGCAAATACGAACTCCAACAGGAATTCGAAGTGATTAACATTAGCATTACCTTTACCATTACCATTACTTTTATAATTACCAAACTCATTACCATTACCAATACCTTTAATATTAAAAATAACTTTGTCATCAACATTACCATTGTCATTACCATTACCCTTACCATTACCATTGCCATAACAATTTCCATCACCATTACCATTGCCACAATCAGTACAATTACCCCTACCATTACCATTACCTTTACCATTAACATTACCCTTACCTTTACATTTGGAGCGTGTGCGTACATTTTCATGACAGAAAATAGCGAAAACTTATTTTCTTATTTCTAAGCAAAAATAAATAAAACCCAGGAGATAACTTTTATTTTTCCAAGAAAAAATAAAACTAAAAAAATAATTATTAAACTTGATTGTTTTTATAATAACACTTTAAAAATACGAATCAGTGCCGCTGAGGGTATCCCAAGTAACTCATATCAACAGACTTATGAACTGCTCAATCAGTTGTGACTATGTTGTTAAGTACGCCAGAGCCATAGTGGTCGTCTGCCGGTTTGATCGCCTTAGCTGTGCCGTGACCGACTACAGCGATAGGAAACACGTCTGCCTGGAAACCAAACGCAAAGCCAAGCAAAGGGTTTAATCTTCTTAACCTCCAGGAAATATTAAATTCCCGGTCCCAATATTTGCGGAAGAAGGAGCTGGTGGGTCTGATAAATCTATTTCAGATTGTCTATAGTCTGTGCACTGTCTTAGCTTGGAAGGTAATTGAGGAATCATACCACTTTGACCGGTCGTTCCTTCCGCGAATAGAGAGCTTCGAATGCTGCGCAACCTCTGAGCTACTAGGCCCTTACGTCGGGTCTCCGATCACCAATCGTGGGACAAAGTGCGGATGAAAACTAAAAAAAATGCTACCTGAATACCTTAGAAACATGAGTTCAGCGCTTCTCCTAAGAAACCAACAGCCTCCAACTCAGCTAGAGCTACGACACGGCTCCACAATATTCATACCAAGGTAGTGCCCATATAAAATACCTGCAGCGCAAACACTTAGGGTCCTGTGCCCTTTAGTAAGCCACACAGGGCCTGCAGGAACACCAAAGACTGCACAGCTCAGGCGAGGTTCTTAGTCAATAGTGAACGCCTACGGTTTCGACGTGATGGTCCGAAACCGTTTCCTTGTTTTTCGCACTAAGAAGCTGAAAAGTAAAATTTTTATTTTCCATCGTAATTTTTCGATCCGCGTTGAAATTTTCAATCACTCGAATTTTAAATGCATACTTTTTATTTACCATATGGAAATTTCGAGTGCTTTTAAGTGCTCACACTCGATCGCGCTGCCACATTCGACCGCATTTCAATGGTCACATAAAAATCTAACGTGCCCACATGCCTTTTCCATACAAGTGCTTTCAAATGCGCACAATAAAAGCCATCTGGGTCGTAGACTACATAATTATCAACCACAAAATTTAATATTATTAAACACCAACAACAACAGCAGTGTTATACATGTATAATTGCAACTAATGGTGGCGGATGTGAGTGAAGCTAGGACCTCTGAACGAATGAATACTCATAGTACGTGCATATATGTATGTACATTAGACTGCATTACTAAGAAAAGTTGCGGTTTTTCCGCCGGGATTACAAAATTTATTATATTTTAAGACGTCCACCAAAATATTTCGGAAAAAATTAAGATTTACATGAGCTGGACCGATTTGAAAATACCTCTAAAAATTGAGTTTTTTATGAATAAAAATAGTTTCTTAAAGAACTTTTTGAAAAAGCCCCCTCAGATGACAAAACAGATTAAGCTTAAAAAATCTGCAAAAAAATATTTAAAAATCTTTTCAACGGAATCGTAATGATGTGATTTTTGATGCTGTTTTTTACTTTTTTCAAAGATTTATTTACGAAAAACATGAATAACTTGGCCAAACCTGTGCTGATTTAGACTTGTTGGACCTCAGTAGAAAGGTATTTTCCCACTTTCATTCGTGTCTCAATTTTTTTTTTCAAATACCAACACATCTTTATTCGACTTTGAATGACGTTCGTTCATCCTACCTTTCTCTTTTATCCTTTGAATGAGTTTATTAGCAAAGAAATAAAAAGGGTGAGAAAATACCTTTCCAATAATACCTCACAAATCTAAATCGGAAGAGCTTAGGTTCAGTTATTCAAGTTTTTCTTATACCAATCTTTGACAAAAGNATTATATTTTAAGACGTCCACCAAAATATTTCGGAAAAAATTAAGATTTACATGAGCTGGACCGATTTGAAAATACCTCTAAAAATTGAGTTTTTTATGAATAAAAATAGTTTCTTAAAGAACTTTTTGAAAAAGCCCCCTCAGATGACAAAACAGATTAAGCTTAAAAAATCTGCAAAAAAATATTTAAAAATCTTTTCAACGGAATCGTAATGATGTGATTTTTGATGCTGTTTTTTACTTTTTTCAAAGATTTATTTACGAAAAACATGAATAACTTGGCCAAACCTGTGCTGATTTAGACTTGTTGGACCTCAGTAGAAAGGTATTTTCCCACTTTCATTCGTGTCTCAATTTTTTTTTTTCAAATACCAACACATCTTTATTCGACTTTGAATGACGTTCGTTCATCCTACCTTTCTCTTTTATCCTTTGAATGAGTTTATTAGCAAAGAAATAAAAAGGGTGAGAAAATACCTTTCCAATAATACCTCACAAATCTAAATCGGAAGAGCTTAGGTTCAGTTATTCAAGTTTTTCTTATACCAATCTTTGACAAAAGTTAAAAAACAGCATCAAAAATCTTATTATTACGATTTCGTTAAAAAAAATTTAATTTTTTAAAAATATTTTTATGCAAATTTTTTTAGCTTAACCCGTTTCATTTGAGGGGATTTTTTCAAAGCACATCTTTATGAAACTATTATTATTATTCATAAATTACTTAATTTTTGGAGGTTTTTTCAAATCGGTCCAGCTCACGTAAATCTTAATATTTTTCCGAAATATTTTGGTGGACGTCTTAAAATATAATCGATTTTATAATTCCAATGGAAAAACCGTACCGATTTTTTTTTCTACGGGGAGTGATCCAATCTAATGTACATACGTGGCATTAATTGTAACTCGAAAGCACAACCCGAACTAGACGCAGACGCCTAAAATTACTGCAGAAAAATTTAATTTCCTAGAAGTGGAACCACGAAATGGCACTCAATTATTAATTGTACCAAAAAACATGCATGCCACATATTGCATGGATATCAAATGCGATGAATACCCTTTATAGAAATGTAAAAAATTGTAATTGTAACGCAGAGTAAGCCCTTGATATTAACTGTTCTAGCGGTAACTCATATTTTTGCCTTTTTTGATGCCTTAATAACAAACAGCGTTGACTCTAATTCGCTATGGCTCCAACACTACTATTGTTCCACATGGCCCCATTACCGTTGAATGTTTCATGACCTAGCACGTGATTTCTGACTACGCTACTAGATTGAAACAAAACAATTCACGGCAGCGAAAACTGTGACGAAATTATATTTTGTCGCGCTCCAAATTATTATTTCGATTGTTATGTATATGCCATTATTTTTGACACCATTACTCTCAACTTTTCTTCTTTTTAGTGTCGTGTTCTGTTGAATTTGCGCACATCACAGCCATTCGAAGAGGTTCTAGAGGATTTGGGTCAAGTTTTGAAAATAAATGGTGCTAAGAAAATGTATACAGGCACGGGACAAGAGGTGAGTTAAATAGGTCAATGTGGCACTTATAATTATATGAACGCAGCCATTGGCCTTAACCCATCGAACCATAAGAAGTTGATATGTTATGCCGACAGCATTCTCAAATTTTGTCTTTCTATATCTTCCATTTTTACTTGCACTTAATTTACCTTCTATCCGCGCTCTTGCTTACACAAATCATTTTGTCATTCATCATATTCCTCACAGGTACGCAGTTTTTCACAATTACGCAATGAATTTGCGGACGTTGACACATTTTATCTTGCAACTGGTACTGCCTTAATTGCCGGTTCGCCTATAAGGCGTTCACGTTCACGCCCCTCAGTTGTTGCAGCAGCACCAATTTTACCCACAGAAGAACTGCCTAAGGTTCCTTTGCGTGGCGCACGTCCACGCAGTAAAAGTCGTCCACGCATTCTCTATGCGCCTGAGAGTGAAATTTTACGTGCGAACGGTGAATATAGCATGTTGGATATTATGAAAGAGGAGCCCACCAAAGTGACCATACGTGGACTACGGCGTACTTTCTATCCGCCCTTACATCATGCACCTGCGGATAATACACCTCCAGATAAAAAATTGCAACTGCAGTGGGTGTAAGTAGTTAATGCATTCCTTTATTAAAAAGTTCGTTATAAGTCTTCCTTAATTGTTTTACCCACAGTCACGGCTATCGCGGCATTGATGCACGCCGCAATCTCTGGGTTTTACCATCAGGTGAGCTGTTGTATTATGTAGCGGCTGTTGCGGTGCTGTTGGATCGTGAAGAAGATGCACAACGACACTATACAGGGCACACCGAAGACATTATGTGGTTAGTAAGACTCAGGAACAATGTACTATTTACCTTAAAAATTCTTACTTTTCCGGCAGCATGGACGTGCATCCTTCACGCGAGCTAGTTGCTTCGGGGCAGAAAGCTGGACGTGATCGTAAATCACAAGCGCATGTACGCATTTGGAGTACGGAATCACTACAGACGCTCTATGTGTTCGGCATGGGTGAGCTGGATAGTGGCGTTACGGCGGTAGCTTTTTCACAATTGGTAAGCAATTCATTATTATTATTGTTTTTTTTTTTCTTTTTATTTCTTTCATTTAATCGCTGTGTTATTCTTCAATACAATTCTAGAACGGTGGCAGCTACATTTTAGCAGTGGATAGCGGACGTGAAAGCATACTTTCTGTCTGGCAATGGCAATGGGGTCATCTGCTTGGAAAAGTTGCTGTAAGTAATTGTGCGTATTAAATGCACCTATACACAACTTAATGCACTTATCAATTCTAGACGTTACAAGAAGGCCTCTCCGGTGCCGCTTTTCATCCGCTGGACGATAATCTCATCATTACTCATGGGCGTGGCCACCTGGCTTTCTGGCATCGCCGCAAAGATGGATTTTTCGAACGCACCGATATTGTTAAGCAACCGTCTCGTTCGCATGTGACCAGCGTGCAATTTGAACCAGACGGCGATGTCATCACTGCCGATTCCGATGGCTTCATCACTATTTATTCCGTCGATTCGGATGGTGCATATTTCGTGCGCACAGAATTCGAGGCGCACAACAAAGGAATTGGTTGTTTGATTATGCTAGGCGAAGGCACATTGTTGTCTGGTGGAGAGAAGGATCGTAAAATTGCTGCCTGGGATTCATTACAAAATTACAAGAAAATTGCTGAAACAAAAGTAAGGGTACTTGTTGTTTACCTTAGTATTTCTTTCTATTAATGTCTTTGATGTACAGCTTCCAGAGGCCGCTGGCGGCGTACGCACCATTTATCCACAGCGTCCCGGACGCAATGATGGCAATATTTATGTGGGCACTACACGTAATAACATTTTAGAGGGTTCACTACAGCGTCGTTTCACACAAGTTGTTTTTGGTCACGGTCGTCAATTATGGGGTTTGGCTGCTCATCCCGAAGATGAGGTGTTTGCCACTGCCGGTCATGACAAACATATAGCGCTATGGCGCAAGAACAAGTTGATTTGGACTATACAAACTGGTTATGAATGCGTTTCATTAGCTTTTCATCCATTTGGCACTGCCCTGGCTGCTGGCAGCACTGAGGGTCACTTGCTTGTCATCAATTGTGAAAACGGTTCGGTTATGTTGACGTTGCGTGTCTGCGGTTCACCGCTGAACTGTGTGGCCTACAATCAAGGTTAGTGTAAACGGTTATATATATGTAGAAAGGAGATCTTAAACTGAAACATCCTATATACTTATGTTACCCTCTATTTAGTTGGCGACATGATAGCCATGGGCTCTCAAAACGGCAGCATCTACTTGTTTCGCGTGTCACGCGATGGTTTCTCTTACAAAAAGGTGAACAAAATACGTGGCTCACAGCCACTGACACATCTGGACTGGAGCATGGATGGCAATTTCGTGCAAACTGTTACCATAGACTTTGATCTACTCTTCTGGGATGCTAAATCACTATCGCCCGAGCGTAGCCCCATCGCCATGAAAGATGTCAAATGGTTGACTAGCAACTGCACGGTTGGCTTTCTGGTTGCAGGCATGTGGAGTAATCGTTATTACAACAATAATAACACAATTATTGCCACCTGCAGCCGTTCATCAGCCCAAGATATGCTGGTATCCGGCGACGCCGATGGCTACTTGCGTGTTTTCAGGCAAGTAACCCAGCATTATATATTAAAAAATTAACTAATTTTTTAACACTTATATAACTGAATTCTTAAGCTTTCTCATAACTCCACAGATATCCCTGCATCAGTCCACGCGCCGAATTTCATGAAGCGAAAGTCTATTCCGGCATGTTGGCATGTGCGCGTTTTCTCTATGGCGATCATACTGTGGTGACAGTGGGCGGCACAGATGCCTCGCTGATGGTGTGGGATTTGGTTGAGGAATAGCTGCAATGGCCACCGTGGCGTACTACTGTCCAACAGTATGATGAAGCACGCGGCTACACCGACTATTGGACGCGCCGGCGATCGTCGAATAAGTCATCGACAATATTGGACAGCGACTCTATTGAATATCAGTAAATTGTTGTTTTTGATATCGGCGGTTTTCGCTGAGCAAATCTGTGCATCACAAAGAGAGTTATAGATTGATGCTCGCCTGACGCCGCAATTGTTGCTGTCATTTACGTTAATTCGCCCTTCCTGGTGTTGGTGTTTGAACGAAGTGCCTTTTTTGCTGTGGACGCAGCTCCTTCCGTCTTTACACGAAAATTTGGCATATCAACTAAATTAAATACTTTTGTTAGAAGTTTATTGAAAATTAGTGAAAATTGTAAACGAAATTTACATATTACCGAAATATGAAAGATATCTAGCACATAAAATTGCTAATTAGGTTAAAAGGATTATGAAACATAGAATGCCCGGAAATATTTGCCGTATTGCCGCTTCCGTTAAGTTCAAGCGCCATCTGTTTGTGAAATACTTGGCTGTACTGTTGATGATATGGAACTCGTTAGTGATGTAAAAAATAATGCAAAGCTGCTGTTGTCAAAGTGAGCAAAATTTTATTGCATCAATATGGGAACCTAGTGTTTAATATTTACATTTCTACAAAATTAAATAGATTTTAAATTTGGGGATTCCTTTAAACGCGCAAAGTGGAAAGCTCGTAAACCTCGGATTTTCTTTAAGGCTGTTTAACAGTTCGAGCATAGTTTCTTTGTCTAATACTTCGTATCAGCTGCAATGATCGGATTTTTAAAAAATTATGTGTTGTAGAATCTGAAAAAAATGTGGTAGATTTCAAAAAACGGTGGTGGATCTCTGGGTTTGAATCAACCTTTGTACAAAAATTAAAAAAAATTCTGCAAGGTTTCACCTATAAGGCAAACTTTTTAATTAGACTCTAAAAAAAATGGATTTAAGTATAATAAAGTGCAAGATTGAAGTTGCTAAAAATTGCGTTGGGTTTTGGCAATTCCTTGACAGTGTAAACGCCTCAGAAACCTTAGATGCACTTAAATTCGCTAATACTTTCACAAAAATTGCCGTTTTTAACATTTTCGCTATATATATTGCAATTTAACACGATAAAACCACGTTTCCCATCGAAAAATGTATTACTGAGAAAATTTACTATTTTACAGTTTAAGTTTATCCTCCAATTCGGCTTTATTTTCCTTTACTTGAGAAATTTCATCGTCGTCGGGAATGCGGAATCTTGTATTAATTATATCATTTTTTGTTACCATATAAGTTTTTAGTGTTGGACAATTTTTGCTCTTAAAATTAAGACAATTATGTCAAGCAAAAATAAAACTACTCAAAAACGCGAATATGTGGTAGATTTCAGACCTTGAGTGGTAGATGTGGTGATGCTCAAAAAAGTGGCACATTGTGGTAGAAGTCCGATCACTGATCAGTTGAAGTGCACATAAAAGCAAGATTCAAAAAGCCGCAAAAAAGTTGAAAAATTAAAATTTTATGAATTAATTGATCAAAACCGAAACTTAAACTTACGAACGATTTTTCTGTGATAGTTGAGCGGAAAATTTCGAGGTTTTCGAGACATGTTCGTATTTCAGGGAATTTTGTAAATATTCTTAACAAAAAAATTTTGAATTGCGATTTTAAGCTGGATTTAAATATTTGTAATGAAATTAATAAATGGGCAGTACATTAGTCCATTTACGATATTTAATTATTTCTAAATATTTCTGCAAAACCTGAACATCGCATCGATTTTAAATCATAGAATTCCGAACAGATGCATTAAGCATTTGAAATCTATTTAATTTTTTATAAATTTGGTTACGTGGTTGCATAGAAAACGCCGCAAAAATTAAAATGAGATTGTTACCCACGTTTTTGTAATTATTTTGTTTGAATTTATATAGTGAAGATATCTTCCATAATAACTTATAAAACAAAAGCTTCCAAGTATTTGAGAACAAGTTTTTGAACTTCCATACACCGCTTCCTGTTTACGAAAATCTTCCAGTCAATTATTTTTTTTTTATTTATCAATTGTTTCTTTTTAACTTTTTTATGCTTTTTTTTATTTTATCTTTAGTTGCAGAGCTGCCTCCTTTCCTACTCTATATTCCTTCTCAACATGTCCTAATGTTATCACTTTCCTATTTCTGTAACAGACTTAAGCCACTGGTGGATACTAGCAAATAATATAAGAACTTCATAGTTGAAAGAAAACCATAATAATATTCATGAGAAATCAATAGAATACATTCACACATACATACACACATACTATAAACAATTTGTAATAATTGTTATTTTATTTAACATTCGTTCTAAATGTACATATATATATATATTTGTTCATACATATTTTATTTTTTTTTTTTTAATTTCCGATGCTTTTTTATTTTACCAAATTGAATTCAATTTCGTTTCATTTTTTCATTGCATCCTATAGTATTTATTTTCTTTATTTAACAAAATTTATAACTTATACAAGAAAAAAATTGTGTTTTTTATAAAATACAAAGGTCACATCATTTGTTATATTTTAAATTAAAATAGGTACAACCGCAATTGCACATTACATGGCGCATTTTTTAAAAATTAATATAAATATAAAAATAATGAGAAATACAAGTAAAATGTAAAAATTCGCAGAAGTATTAAATACTGAGTTTTTATTTCATAATGAGGTCTTCTTTTTCTAATAGCTGCCATCCATCGGCAGGCAATGGCAAACCCCCGAGTGTATTTTAGCCATGAAAAAGACTCATAAACTTGAACTCGAGTTGGGCTACTGTGGATCTCATCTGCCTTAGCGAGGCGTTGAATGAACAGCACAGGCTCAAGGTGGCCAGAAGAGAGAAATACCCACCTTACCTCCAAAGGCTCTTCTGGACGTTCTTGAGTAAGCNTTCTTTTTCTAATAGCTGCCATCCATCGGCAGGCAATGGCAAACCCCCGACTGTATTTTAGCCATGAAAAAGACTCATAAACTCGAACTCGAGTTGGGCTGCCTTAGCGAGGCGTTGAATGAACAGCACAGGCTCAAGGTGGCCAGAAGAGAGAAATACCCACCTTACCTCCAAAGGCTCTTCTGGACTTTCTTGAGTAAGTATGTGTTGTGGTGAGTGGAGGACGCAATAGATACACTAGGTCGCGGTACATACCTCTTCAATTTTTTCTCTACAAGTGGCTGAGCTACCTCCTTACATACTCAGAAGGTGTTACTCTGTGCAGTTCAAGTTAAAATTGGGGTGGTTGGATTGTAGACTACTCGGCTTCATCGTGTGATCCAAAACTGGGAACCCAGTGGCGGTGCCGATAGCTGTGGTTTGACTCACCTGAAGAACTTGGCGCCCACGGCTCATACTGGTTTGCTGCAGAGCCACGACCGATAGCTTAGCCAGTGGCAAGAATAATATTTTTGACTTTTCTCTAGCCGGTGCCGGATGCGAATTCTCTCGCCTATTGTTGTCACTTGAGTCGGAAAAGAAACGAGACTATCGATCACAATACCTAGGATATTAAGATGATTAACGGTAAAAATGATTTTTCCTTTATTTCCTCATTTCTTTCGTTCAAATGGCTGGCCATGGATCTTCCGGCCGATATTTGTTGGTTATATTCCTTGGAGAACTGTTCAAGGGCACTGAGGGAGCTATTTATCAGTGTGCAGAGCATATTTATACAAGGACTATATCGGTTATAATGTAACCCTTCAAATTGGGTTTTTATTTTTAAAATAAATTTAACCGTTATTTTATGATTTTTATTTTTCTCATCAAGAATATTTTTTTTTTTTTATAAATATTTTTTCGATGAGTTGTTATCGTTATTTAAGGTTTCTATTTTTCGGTCGTATTGTGAAAAATAGAAATTAAAATTTTACTTATATTCTGGATCGGGAAAAGCAAACAATAACGATTTAGCAAAGTTTTAAATATAAAAATCGGGATATTTTGAATGATTATTGTACAGTCATCGGCGCATGAGATAATGGAAACTCCCCTGATTGGAGGAGGAAAATCGGCAAAATAAATATTAAACAGGGAAGGAAAGAAAATAAAATTTAGCTTGCTCTCCTTGTAAACCAGGCTTGTGCATGTTACTACTAACATCCTGCTACGGCAACTCTTTCACACCTAGAGGGCGCTGTTACAATATTAAGTTACCCGAGTCTTACAAAAAAACTTTTACTCTAAAAAAATCACAAATTTAAAAACAACTAATTATAACTTTTACAAAAATAGAACAAAAATCTATTCAATTGAATTTCCAAAAATTATTACCAAACATTGGCATCTTTGCAAGATTTTTCGAAGTTTGCGCTGGTGTGCAAAAGGAACAACCATTTGGGAGAGTATATTATTGCTAGTCCTTCACACCCAAGCAATTTCATATTGTGAATGCAATTTTTACAACGTTTTTCTTTGTGCTTAATTTTCGGAAAGTTCGCTTGAACGAAATTCGTGATTCGCCGTGGTCATCTTTTTAGTCGTTGTGTGGTTTAGTTCTTGCTGCGGGCTCTATCTCTTATTTGTATTCGGTGCAATTTTTTTGACACACACAATTGAGGACCTCATACAATCGCTTAAAACGCGCTGCGCTTCATTCCCCATTCGGTTTAATCAGTGGAGTATGCCTTCTGCTTCAAACAAACTGGAGAAACAAGCCTCCATAGGCTCTGTGCATGGTACTAGTGGATGTAATAGCGGTGGTGGTGCTGGTGGCGGAGCCACCAAAAAGTCTCAAGATGTGATTAACGCCAACGCTATTACTGAAAATAATGCCACTAGCAATAATACCAACAATACTACTAATGAGGGCTCCGTTACTTCAAACAGTAACAATGCGAAGGGAGCTCCAACTATGAATCCTGTGCTGGAAACGAATATTCCAATGAAGCAAACTATCACTACAATTGATCATAAAATACGCAATTTGGAAAAGCGCAAGGTGAGTGCAATACAAGCCTTTGGTGGATGGATTTCTAGGTCGATTATATTCAAATATAGAAGCTGGGTATAGATTTACAAATAAGCCGTTTTAATGGGCATTGAGTGAAGTGTTATACGTCTGGGAGAATGCGGCAGACTTCGCCAGACCGGCCGCAAAATTTTACTTTGGATAAAAATGCTAGGGCTAGAAGCGTAAAACACTTATAGAATTAATTAAGCCCCTGCTAAAGTGTTAGCAGTACAGTGTTAGCAGTACATTCAATCTTGGTGGATTTTGTCGCATATATCCATTAAGTTCAAACGCGTTTTTAGCATCACCTCCATTTTCTTTAATTTGAACAAAAAGTTTGTGTTCGTACTATTTCGGTTTTATTCGGTGCATTTCGCTGATTTATTCACGCGACGCCATCTTTGTTACGGCGATTGTATCAGAAGCAGATGTCGCAGCAACAATTTACAAGACCACTTGACACGGTTGCCATCTCTACGAGGAAGCGAAACGTTGGTAGCACGAAAAACATGTAAACAACCACGCATGTTATACGGTTTTAAATGCCTGTATGACGCATACTTTGCAAAAATTTGCATCGGTGGATAATGAATAGGAAATTGGTTTTATTCAAGTAACGTCGGCGACGCATTTTCTTGGCGGCTTATGCGATGTGGCAGCACTAGAACGGGAATACGGGAACTCCATGTGCTACTGTTCGAATTTCGATATTTCATCTTGGCTATTTTCCACGTTTTTCGTTTCGCCTTCTATTTGAATTCTTCTCCCTTTTGTTACTTTATTCAATTTCGGTTGGCCCTCTTATTTTAGTCGCTTTTGTTTTTCGCCTCCGCAGCATTTTTGTTTTGTTGTTTTCAGGAAGATTGGTTTTCGTATTCCATAGCATTCGTAATAAGCAACATACAAATTTTTTCATCTTGGCTGGTTTACCGCCTTCGCATGATCGCATAAAATTAAAGTTTTCTTGATTTTGGTGTTGTCTTTTGCTCTATTTGTTTACGACAAATCAATGCAATTTCGTCAACAAAGAATTTATCTTTTGCCGGTGAGCAATAAATGCCGAAATAGGTAGTGTGACACAATTTGGCGATATTGAATATGAATAAACAATATAGAAGCTGTTATTAATTTTTTTTTATGGAATGCATTTTTAATAAAATGGACCTGTAGAAATTTCTGTAACTGAAATGGCAGAACATTTAAGTCACAAAATTGCCATAGCATGTGCGTGCCCTAGGAAATTTTGCTTTTATGTTTTTTGACCGTCCTAGCCCTCTGGTGATCGGTTCCCATGATTTCGCTCTTAAAGTTTTAGTGTTGCCGCTGAAAATAGCAGGTAACAACAAAAGGCTTTACAGGATTTCCAGGAACAGCTCTGTTCTCCATTTCTTTACAATCTCGACATTACTCTAAAATAACAATTTAGATTTAATTCTGTATACAAAAAGTTAAAATCTGGATTGAAAACTGACTCCATGTAGCACTCTAAGAAAAGCAATAATTGCGAGATATAATCTCATGTATTTTTTCTTTTGACAGACTAAGTTGGAATCATATCGCACCATCCAAGCTTCTGGCAAGGAACTGAGCGCTGACCAAAAGGCTGCAGTAGCTAAGTATGATGCTGTTATTGCAACCCTGGAATTTGCTCGGGAGCTATCCAAGCAAATGTGGCAGTTTGTGAAGGAGTCTGAAAAAGAGCAAAGGAAACAAGCACGCAAGGTATTTGTAGTAGCTTCATACATTATTATTGTTAATACGTATTCTGCTTCATTTCATTGTGTAGGATGTTATTGCCCGTGCACTTGCGGAGACTGCCAAAATACGTGAAGTTTTAGTTATTCAAAATATTCTAAATTGTTTCACCGATGACTCAATTCGAGCTGATTTCGAAAATGGCGAAAATGGCGCTATAAAATTGGAAACTGCCGACATGAATATCTTGGAGAAATAGTTAGTTTTTCAATTAAAGAAAGGTTTCTTTATTAAAATTACATATTAATTTTAATTTGCAGTTGCATTGATGTGCAAACCACTCGTCCTGAATCTGCAGAAGATGTACCATTTCTTACTGCCGCACAAAAAGCGGCCGAACTTTTTTCAATGACTATTGACGGACGCCCGAAGACGTATGCTGATAACATTACGTATGATCAACTACGACGCATTTTCAATCAAATACAAGAGTCTGGTTATTTGGACAAAGTCTATCTGGTCACTCCCGAACCCGAAGTTGAGAGCAAGGAGGAGGGGGAGGAGTTTGGTGAAGTTGTTGAAGGTGAAGAGACAGTTACTGCGGAAGAAGAAACCTTAGAGGAGGGAATGGACAAATTGAACGTTTCATCTGAGGATGTGGATGAAGAGTTAGATGAGCAGAATACAGCAACCAGTGTAGGCGGCGAAGATGCCGGTGGATTACCACTGCATGCTAGTGTCGCCAACGACTTGCAACAGCAGCCACAACAACAGCAACTCTTGCCACCGCAAATGGTACCACAGCAAACAGTCAAGGAGCACCTTGATGTACAACAGCAGGTTCAAACTGGTTTACCACAACCTCAACAACAAACCAATGCAGCAGTAATGCAACCACCAAACCCTGTTCCTGGGACAGTGCCAAGCTTTCAGGCACCATTACAAGCGGGCGGTGCGGCACCAGTGCATTTAGCAATGTTTGCAGCACAACAAATGCAGGCAGCTCCACCTCAGTTGCAACAGGTACCGCCCGGCAGCATCATAGGCGTGCCTCAAGTGCCGCCACAAATGGTGCCCGTTGCTCAAGCGCCAACACCGCAGCAGCGACAAATGATGACCAGCCCAGCTACGCCAGCGGGCGGCGTACAATTGCCACAAGGCGCGATTCCAATCCATGGCACACCACAACAACCACCAGGACATTTCACACCCACAACGGTACGCGCTGTAGAGCAGGGTTTGTTCCCGCATAACCGGCAACAATTTATACAGCAACAGATGCGTCCAGTAGCTGAGATAATCGGCAATGGCAGCTTCTACTTTTTGCAGGAGAGCGAACTGGATTCGCCCGAAATAGCTGGAAATGCGCCTATTGGTAGTGTCGTATTTGAACAACAGCAACCGTCGGCACAACAACAAGCGCATCAGCAGCAGCAACAACAGCAACCCATTCCACACGAGAATGTTTCACAGGCTCAACAACAGTTGCAACAACAAAATTTATTGAGTCACGGAAGCGAGCTGCAAGCGGCAGAGCTCCACAAGAGCCAGCAACACCACTTACATCAACAACAGCAGATCTTACAGCAACAGCAGCAGCACCAACAACAACAACACCATCAACCACCACAACCGTCTCAACAGCAACAAGCGATTCCGACGCAAACATTTACAAATCAGTCATTCCCACCCATGCAACCGCCGGCAAGCGTGGTAGTATCAACCAGCGCTAACATTAGCAACACTCCGACAATAGTGAGTAGCACACCTAGCCCAATGTTCCAACAACAGCAACAGCAACAACAACATCAGCAGCAGCAGCAACAACATCAGCAGCCGCAGCAACAGCAACAACAGCAGAAACTTCCACAATTGTTCTCACCTATCGGCGGTCCGGGTTTGCCGCCTCAGGAAGCCATTGCAGCACATCAGCAACAGTTGTTGATCAACGAACAGCCGCAGCACCAGCCACCTATGATGATAATGGCACGCTTGACGGCGCCGCAAGCGCGTATGCCTCCACAAAATATAAACCAACAGCTCCAGCAACCGCCACAAGTACAGCAACAACAACAGCAAACACAACAGCCACAGCCGTCATTGGGTATGCAACCTGGCGAGGTACGGGTATCGGATGTGTCTGCAGCTACCGCTGCCGGTTTCCTGGGTTTCGATAATAATGTGGTGACCTTGACTTACGAGCAGCAAATGCAACAGCAATTGGCTGTCGTAGCAAAAGCGAGTGCTGCTGCTGCCGCCGCTGCTGCAGCTGCAGCCGCTGAGGAGAAGAAAGTAACTGAAGATATTGGCGCGCATAACAAGTTCAATGCTGGTGAGTCAGTGGTGGTCAACGAATGGGACGCCATGTCGAAAGCAAATGCCGATGTGCGTTCAGCCAACATCAATAGCAGTGTCGTTACAAACGCCGCCGCATCTGCTGCGCTTGCAAATGCATTGAAGTCACGCACTAGCGTCGTTAATGTCAACGTTGCCCCTGCTAATAGCAGTAGCAGCAGCGGAGGTGGCGGTGGGCCGGTCAGCGTAATGGAGCCGCCTACGAAGTGGAGCGCCGAAATGAATGCGCTTAGCAACCCATCAACGCCAAGTGCAAACAGCGACAATACCCCACCCATTGCGCGCAAAATTGAGTGGACATCGAGCAACAATAGTGGCGGCGGTGGCAGTGGAGGCGGCACCAACGTGGGTGGTGGTGGCGGTTATGGTGATAGCGGCGGTACGCAGTCAAACGCCAACACACATGACTCCAATCACTGGAACTCGAATCAACAGCAGGATGGAGGTTAGTAATGATTTTTTATATAGGTCGTTTTTCTTACAAACCATTCCATTTGTAGCACACTACAACAATGGTCGCCAGTTCCAGCGTCGACGTGGTCGCGGTAACTACGGCAACTCGCAGCCGAACGGTGGTGGACGCGGTGGGATGTACTTCCGCAACAACGATAACTCGTCGGGTGGCTCGTACTACCAGAACGGTGGCGGCGGTGGCGGCGGTGGCGGCAATGTGTACACGAAAGATTCCGGCTCGCGCTACGATTCAGGCAGCTACCGCGGACCGCGCACAGGCAGTGGCGGTGGCGGTAACGGACGCGGCAATGCGCCACCTCCACGCACGCTTGGTGGGCGCAATAGCGGTGGCGGCCAGACAAACACATCATCCAGCTCATACATGAACCGCTCATCGCAGCGCATGCCGATGGGCTTGGATAATAAAAACTGAAGCGCAGAGAATGAGAAAATGGAACACGTAAATACAGGTTAGAAGCAAACTGAAAATAATGTGTGATGAAAAAGCAGGATTGAAGCGTTTGAAGCAGAAGGCAGATTGATATGAACCTCTTAAGAATCGTAAATATATACATACATATATGAAAAAAGAAAACCGCAAACACAAACATATACACATACACTTACATATAGAAACTGAAAAAAAGAAAAACAAAAGAATACATTAACCTTTAATTAGTAGTGTGGCGAAAGTCAAAGCTGCAGTACCATAGTAGTAGTAACAGCAGCAGCGGCAACCACAAAAAAAGCAAGCGAAACTGCAACAATGAAATGTAAACATACGCGTGCGCGTTAATATTTAATTTCATAAAGAAAACTTTAAAGTAAAAAAAAAAAAATGGGGGAACAAATGAAAGCAAAAGGCGGAAGAGAAAAAGAAAAAAAGAATATTACATTTAAAGAAATGCAAAGAAACTTTATGCTAATTTCAATTACAGAAATACTTATTTATGTTCATTTTTTCTAATTAATATTATAAATGTATGTAACTGCTCTTTCATCATGTAAGCCAGAAAGAAAAAAGAAATCTAAAAATGAAGCGCAACCGAAACAACTGAACGACACAAAAACAACAGTATAAAAAGCATATGAAACACGATAACACCATAAATGCATGGTTGGCAGCAACTATAAAAACACAAACAACAAAAGTAGCNATGAAGCGCAACCGAAACAACTGAACGACACAAAAACAACAGTATAAAAAAGCATATGAAACACGATAACACCATAAATGCATGGTTGGCAGCAACTATAAAAACACAAACAACAAAAGTAGGAGTAGGGGAGTAGCCGTACAACCGAGTTGAAAGCGCTTCTGTACAAAGCAAAAGGCTAAAAAGGAAAACGTACCAACATTTTTCAAAGATATTTTAAATATTTAGTCGTGTTTGAAAAATGTTTAGAAATCTGCTATTATGGCAAAATAATATAAGCTACAGCGGCTTTAAGCGTGCTTAATTTGAAAAACAATGAATAAAAAATGGTCTGTGTCGTTAGTATTTGCCTTCAGCTGATAAAACATATTTTGTTTAGTATTTCAACGTGAAGTGAAGAGCAAAACGGAAAGTAATTATACGCCTACCTATTATAATAATTATTATTACTATTATTATTATTAAAATTAATTGATAAAAAACAACAACAAATAAATCATACAAAAATATTACTTATATTAAAAAAAGAGAAAGAAACAACAAACAAAAATTACAAAAAAATCTCAAGTTTATTATTTCACAACGTGGTGTGGGTGTGGTCATGGTGGAAAGGTTGTTGTAGGGGCTACTAAACCCCGCTCGAGACATCTGGTTCAGCTAAGAGGAGACCCAGGAAGTGCGCGACTTCCACACGGGCATGCGAAGAGGTGCCGTGAGTCATGCGTCGACTCTCCGCATGCCATTCACTTGTTGGGCACATCTTTTTCACATCTTCGTTCACTCTGCTCAGGTACGAGTTTAGCCTGCTGCAATATCCAGAGCGAAGTTGGACTATTGTGGTGCGAGTCTCCCGAGGCAGACAAAGTTCTGTCCCGTCCACGTCGAGTGGGTGTGTGCCCAAAACGGCATTCAGTTGGGTCCAGAGGTTGTTTCATGAACTTCTGGACTTCGTCCGTCAATTCGTAGTGGAAAGGTAGTTTTATCTACTGTCGGTATTAAAAGTTTACCACTTGGGCTGGTTCAGGTAATACCTTGGTCAATTTTCTTTCATAGCGGTCGTCCCTCGGCTGTCAGCGGCAAATCTTCGAATACATTTCTGACAATAAATAGCTATTCGTGTGATACAATCAGGCCGATTATGAATTCAAACTCCCTGGGAGTTTTCTCTCTTTTCCTATCATGAATAAAAATTCCCTGAGGACTTTTTATATTAAATGGCTTAGTTGAGCTCTCAAACTAGTGTCAAACCGCGTCTTTGAAGTTCGAATTTCCCCCGCCCAAGTTTTCCGAGTAAATTCTACTCCCTGGTAGTTAATTATTGGAGGATTTATTTTCCGGGAGAAACAGATTCACGGAGAACAAACTCCCCCGGGAGTATTAAGAATTGGGCTGAATGAATGCCCTTAAATGATCGATAGGCAGGTGACCATAGGGCAAACATGAAGGCGAGACCCAGACAGCACCCTGAAGGGGCGTAGTTCACTCTACAAGGATAACAAGTGAAATTTATGAAACGCGGTACACCCAGAAAAAAATTTAAATACTTACGTTACAAGGTGTTAAGTATTCCTGCAAATGAAATTACTCTAGTTTAATATAATATATTTCCGCATATTTTATATTGGCTGCATTTCTTTATTCATTCTGAGCGTTGGGAATAAACTTTTTTGTTTACTTATTCTTGAGAACGTTCCTGATGATATGCTAACGTATATTTCAAACGCGTTCTGTTTATTCTGGCTCTGAAATCGGATTATCCGGAATGTATAAAGAAACGCAACCATTAAATTAATTTTCTGTACAATTAAATACTTAATAGACTACCAACTAATTTTATTCTTCACGTAAGCTTCTTACGTTTTTCGTTTGCTTTTTGCTGTTCTTGTGCCTTACAGAGAAACCAAAGCCCCGCAATTATCAATGCTGCACCCACAGTTGATAGCAGTGTAAATACTTCTCGATACACAAGTGCACCTAATATAAACTAATAAAGCAATCATTATGTATTTAAATTAATATCATATAAAACAAATATTTTTATTTGCAACAATTTTATTACCGATAGCATATAATTGGCAGCAGCTGTTAGCACAGTTGCGGTCAATGTTTGTTCGGTGCATTGTAGCGCTTTGAGAAAGTAACGCCAATTCAACAAATTACAAATCACCATCAATGCAATGGGGAGTAGGCGCAGCAGAATCAACTCTACATAAAAAGTGCAAATTAAATAAGCTTTTGTTAATAAGTATAGTACTTAAATATTTTACCTACCGAAAAAGTAAATTGCATCCGTTGAAAACAGCTTCGCTAATAAAGGTACTTCCGAAATTTGACTTGGTGCACGACCAAAGAAGCTGCCGCCAGCAGCAAAGGCGCCAGCGATAAAACAATAACGATATTGCTGTAATGATCGTGACATTTTTGTTTGGATAAAAACTGATGTTTGAAATATTTGGGAGTTGCAATTGAAGCTCTGTATTCAGGATTTTGTATGTGGCACGTTTTTATGTATGTACATATGTAGTTATTCTCTCCGTGTCGGCTACTCTTCAGGAATGTTAATGGATTTACCAGCATTTACTTTATCGTTGTTATCACATCATTACTGTAATACTTATGCATGCTAATATATAAATATATCTAATTTGCAGAGCCCATAAACTTTGTATTTACTAATTTTCTTTTACTTAATTAAACAGCTGTTTCTTGTTTACATTCGGCTGCGGAAATTCACAGGGTTGCTTTGAGGATAAGGAAATTAAAAAGTGCCATTCATTTTTTGCTGTATGGATAGTCCCAATATGTGTAAGTAAAATAAGGAAAATTATCAATGCACAAATAAAATAACATTGAAAATATAAATTTCAAGTATTATTTTGAAGAAAATTTCACTTCCTCTATTTACAAACTACTTTTTGTTTGTATGGCTAACGGAAGCCTACAGAGTGGCGTGACCGTTAATGTATGTAATTTGGGGAGTTACAAATGAAATATATTAAAAGTAAGTAGTCGCTTTGTAGCGAGTTGTGGGTAACATGTAAGTTATTTCTTTCGTAAAGCAGACATTACTATCCCGTTAGACTACTCCCCGTTGTCATACAAGAAGGCTAAAAAGACATTCTTGCACTTTTCATTCAGATCTTGTCAGAGAGTTCCGTTAAATCAGTCCCAAGATTAAAAATATATCGATGCAGTTTTATTTTAATAATAATTTGCTAAGAAACCTTTTAATAAGAATCTTAGCTAACCTTTTGATGCAATGTACTACATACAGCAGCAACGTCCGTTTTGATTGAAGTAAACCGCGAACTATTTTATTTTAGCCTATTTTTCAAGTAGTTTGGAAATCCACTTCTTGTTTGATTGAAATCACTGCATGGTACATGGATCAAACTATGATATGTATTTCCACCGATTTATAGAAGAAATTTTAGTAAATCTTTACTCTGTATCTATGTCATGAAATATTAAATAACTAAACACTCGCTTGTCCGATTTTCCAATTCGCGGAATAAAGAAAAACAAATTTTCTCAAATAAAGTTTTCTTTAAAGTCAATTATGATTAATATAACTTGAGAAGAAACGAAATCATAAAACATGAAAATCGAAAATCTCATATTTCCACACCTCAACAGACCAAATAATATGTATTTCCCTTAGGAACCAGATCGAAGTGTGATATTTCCACGAGCACGCGACAAAATATTATACATACATATTTCCAAATTAAATTATTTTTTATTTTTTTCATATACTTGGTTACTAAAAAAATACAAGGGTCATGTTATATATGTACATACATACTAGCAGTAGATTTCTTAAATTACTCAGCAAAAATTTTTTAAAAGGCTATGCACAAAATAAGGAAAAAACCTACCTACATCAATTGGAAATTATATTATTGATCGAGAAAATCCAAGTCAAATTTTAACTCATTTTAATTTCATTTTTGATCGAAAACATATCGATTAAAAAATAACAATTATTCAGGCAGGTTCTGAGTCTAATTCGCTTTGAATTCAAATTGGCAGGGGTGGAAATTCACTTGGAAGTGTAATTTAAATGTATTTTAAACAAGAATCGTTTTTATAATACAATGACAATTGAATAATAACAAAAGGTTCATTTCAGGGCGAATTTATACAAGGTGGTGTTCTAAAATCAGCTGATTTCTTCGCCTTACCTGTATTTTGTTTTCACTGATTTGACAGTATACCCATCAAAAGCAAAAACAAAATACAGGTAAACTTTAGATGCGTTCCAGATGCTTCACGATTTGCAGGTTTTTACAGGAAGTCGTTCCAGGTGACCACCTTCCATAAGATTTATTAATGGAGAAAACAGCTGTTCCAGCAAATGGTGAATATCGCGAATTGAAAATTGACATAACACCCGTAATACAAAAACATGTGATTGTTGTTGTTGTAAACTAAATTCGCCAGTAACACCACCTTGTATAAATTCGCCTTGATTCATTTAAATTAAAATAACAGAGTTGGCATTGCTGATCTCGGCTAAATTGCAACAGCTGTAGCTCGTTTCTGTAACAATTCTCTACCAAGGCGAATTGAGATATGAATTCGCCGCTCTGTTCTCTACCATGAACCAACGACTACAGATCACCTAATCAGCCATCGTTGTATTTGTAATCGATTTTCAGAAAAAAGTTTTCGTAGCGTTTTTGACGTTTTTCGGTTTTGTTTACACCGTCTTCTACCTCTTCGTAGTGATTTTTTAGCGATTGAATGTGTTTTCTGCAGCGATTTTAATTATAAATTTTGGTTTATTACATATTTATGATATAAAATAAAGTGCTGTGTGATCGGAACAAGTTTGTGCGTATGTTTGGTTTGCCAAAAGGCGTAAATTTGCGTGAAAGATGGGTGCACGTTTGTGGCCAGAACGTTGGCATTGAAAAATCGACCCGTGGTAATGATATGCGATTGTAAAACACTTTCAATCATGAAAACCATATTTTATGAACTTTTTTTGCTAATTGTCATCAAGTTTCACTTTGTATATTTTATAATAAATACCAATTTAATCGCGCTCAATCACCGCGCCTTTTTCGTTTTCTTTGTTTGTTTTCATTCTTAGGCAGATGTCAAAAACACTCAGAAATATACTTTTTTCCTGCTTCTTTGATTAGGTGATCTTGTATTTTTGGTTCATGGTTCTCTACTGCTAATTAGTAGGTGAGAGTGACGTATTTTCTCTACCAGTAGAGAAATAATTGGTAGAGAAAAGTTACAGAAACGGGCTACTGATTGTCNACCAACCAACTGCCAAATTCCGGCGAAATGTCATCTGTTCGCTCACAAGAGAGAAATATCCAAAATAGTACGCGAACAGAAAATTTGCAGAAACTTGCAAGTTAGACGAACAGCTGATATAATTTTTGTTTACATTCAAAAGTGTAAAATTTGAAATGTACGAAAAGTTATCACAAAGTGTTATACTGACACAGTTTATTGATTAAACAAATAACTACTTATTTCTTACAAGTTTAATTAGTCGCATTTTGTAATTTTTAACTTCCAAACCATCAAATTCAATTTTGTGATTTGCGTAAATGCCAACCAGCTGTTTTTGATCAGCTGTTTTCCTGTTGGCAAAAATTTTTCCAGCAGAAACCAGCAGCTTCTCCTCATGAAATGTCACTTTGCTCTCTCAATTTCCCCTACTTTGCAACTTTTTTGCGTACGCGAACGCAAAAACTTGTAAGTTTTGGTTAAACATGAACAATTAACAGCTACGCGAACGAACCTAATATGTAATTATGCTACGAAAATTACATACTTTTTTCTTACAAAAGGGACCTTTTATGTCATTTAAATTTCCATTTTGGGTATTTAACTAAAGAGCCTTTGTGGGCACCTTTAACTTTAAAGTTGCTAGATGAAATCGATCAGCTAAATAAAGCATCCTTTAAGTTTTAAAGTATTCTTTAATCTCATTAGTTGCGTTCCAGATGCTTCACGATATTCACGATATGCAGGAACAGCTGTTTTCTCCATTAATAAACCTTATGGGAGGTGGTCACCTGGAACGACTTCCTGTATAAACCTGCAAATCGTTAAGCATCTGGAACGCAACTATTATGAAATCGGCCCTTAGTTAGCTACACTCATTTCTCAGTGTTGGAAAATAGAATCCAATACTAAGGGCCCTGTCACACGGCCAGTAATTATCACGATATTTGGATCGCGATCCATATTGATGGATTGATGGATCGCGCGCGAATGCTACATGTTCAATATTTATCGCGTCAGTATTTGCATAATTTTTGTGCTGAATGCTTATTATGACACAAGAAAATATTTTTATTTTGGGCGTATAATTTACAGATAATGCATTCCACAATTATTTTAAAATTTCCTGTGTTAACATATTTTCAATTTCTTTTGAAAGGTTTTAAGCACCGAGAGCGAATACATTTTCGATGTTCGCATTATGAGAGTAAAAGATGTTCTGACGAAATGTATGGATCGCGTTTTGAAAGTGCTACACGTTCAATATTTATTGACGGTATCGCAATCCGCGATCCAGATTTCAAAATTTTTTAGAAATTTTGCGTGCCTTGTGCAAGTCGTTGTTAGAGATTCGAGTCGTATAGAAAATTGCATGGCATTGCCTAGAACCCCCTGCCCCTACCTGGCTACTCCCATGACTACACCACAGCGGCCAAACCATGAGTTAAAAAAGCTATAAACTTAAAAAGAAATCTTTTTTTTTTTTTATTGAAAATATTTTGCATAATAATATTTATTGATGTTTTTATTTCTTTTTCAATCAACTGTTGATTATATTTTTGTTTTACTACTCATACGTATTTTTCAAATAGTTTACATAAGTGGTTTTCTTACCTACATATGCTTATGTATTTTCTTTATAAAGAAGGTTTAAATAATTTTTATATGTATGTACATATATCGCTCTAAATATATAAGTACATAACTAAAAATACATAATATAATACAGTTTACGATACATTGGTAATTTAATAGTTGCTACATTGTGTAGTACATTAAGCTTTTCTTTAGTTGAGAAATAAGGCCATAACTTTCAATTCACTTTTTTTGTTTGCTTCGATGGATTGCTTTTAGTAGTAACAATTAAGCTGTGCGACTGAGCAATCAATTGACGGAAGTAGCAGTGGTAAATATTTAACAATTAAAAGAAGCAGTTATAAATAATATATACGTACACAAGTCAATTTTTGGAATACAAAGTTGTTTGTAAGTAGTAGCTACAGCTGCTTTGTTAATTTGTTAAGCTCAATGGTTGCTCTACCGCACAGCTATAAACCATATCTATTAGCAAATCTACGCCTAAAATTTAATTATCTTAATTTTTTTCACAAAAGTTATACTTATAAAGTTAGGAAAACGAAAATAATCACTCTTTTTTATGCCTGGCATCTTTACACATTTGTGTATTTTGCAAAGTATTGCTTTCAAGTCGTTTTAGTTCACATCAAATTGTAACCCTTTACAAAGAAAGGCGAAAGTAATTTTGCTGAATTGCTAGAAATACACTTTCATACATACACATATGTATGCATGAACACAAAGTGTAAGTTATGCAGTTTGCGATGAGCACTAATCATTTGCTTTGAACTCCATTTGAATTTGAAATACATTTGTGCCATAATTAGTTCGAGTTGCAGCTCTGCTGTAACGCCTAGCCAAATCTGCGTGCTCTTTTGGTCAGATCA